ATGTGTGTATTCATTATTTTAGCATTTTGGTGCATTTTTTTAAAAGGTAAAAATTCTGCCTAAATACCACAGTATAGCGCCACCTTCAGCTTAAAACATAGAATTTGACTCATTTTGAATAAATTTTAGCCAATGGCTAAAGAGTAAGATACTACGTAAACCAGTAGAGTACTACGTAGCAGCTCTGTGTCAAAGTTTTAAAAGCATTGAGCGTCTCGGCCACGCCTTGTGGCGAGTTGGGAGTTGGATTTACAAGCGAGTGTAGGAGGTTAGCGGTAGTTCAGCATTAGCATATAGCATTAGCATATCCTAATCTTTAGCATAGCTTTTGGTGTTATACATACTTATTTAGTGTTAGCTTGGCTGTTGGATATTGTAGTATAGTTAGTGTTTGGCTGTTAGTGTAATTAGGAAAATAGGTCAGGTTTAGTGCTCCATATCTTGTTAGTATGGTGAGAAGGTGTAGTGTAATATGGTTGCGGTGGCTCTGTGGAGTTGTACTCCTTTCCGCTGGACTTAGGAGCCAGTGGTTGCGCGCAATCGGTGTCTGGAAAACAGTCAGCTCCCGCCTGGTGCTGTAGTTTGCAACCAGCAGTTTACCCGCGATTCTGCACGTCTCCGTTTGAAGAGGGAGGCTTTGCCCACCGTGGCTCTTCCGCGATTTAGATGCTGCCCACCGACTCTGCTCCCCCACCAAGGCGGGCTCCAGTCTGAGGTGAGTAAGCTAAATAAAAGTTTTAACATCTTCTAAAGACAATTTCCTACCTAAATGCAAAGTTTGAGAGACGTGGTTCACTTCCTTTAGCTATTCAGTCGGTTTTTCTGCAACAGTGGCTCTAACTGAAGCAGCACTAGTTGACAGACAGCATTACAGCGTGAAATCCAGCTTGTGACCCGGTGTCGGTACAAGATCTGCTCGGGTGCAAAATTGGCTCGGGTCCGTCGACTGCCGATGACGTCTAAGTAGTTGATTGGCTGAACATGAACCTTACGGAATTACGTAATCACGTTACGTTGTTATCACGTTACGTTGATCCAGGCGAATCTTTCTGTTGGAAAGATGGACAACTTTTACAAAGAAATCCATCATTACCTCTTTGAAAATACACTTTTAGCATAGAGCTGCATGTATATTAGGGCTGAACGATTAACTGCATGTGCAATTAAATTGCGATGTGACAAAAGGAGATTTTCTAATCGCAAAGGCTGCAATTTGGCAGCAAGTGGTTAGCGCAATGCTAATATACATGGAAAAACCCATAGGAATGCTAATGCTAATATCGCTGATTACTTTATTACAAATTATGAATTAGAAACGTGCCAAATGATTACATTTGGAGTCTAATAGAAAGTAAAACTACCATCAATCAAATAAGTACAGACAGGTATTTTAGTAAAGCCAGAAAACTTTTAACTCCAGAGTTTTGGCTAGCAACTATGAGCGTAACTGAACTACGCATGGACAGGCATCAAAAACTCTAAACACAAAATACTTCAATAAACGGGACACACTTCTTTCCTGCAAATTCAATTTCACAGGTGTTGCTAATACCTATGATTCTTCAAGGGATGTGCTCAAAGAGGAGTTCAACATTATGAATAAAATAGTGTTTTATTTTAGAAATACCATTATAAACACAAACTTACGTCTTAAGAAAGATTATTTTAATAACGAAACTGCTAAATTCTTTCCAACAGTATAGATGTGTAGTGCATGGACGTAATTTTGGGGGGGACAGAGGGGACATGTCCCCCCCACTTTTTCCAAAGTCAAGTTTTGACCCCTGCACTTTTTACCATCCAAAAACAATATTACGCTACATTAAATTGACACTGGTTGAGCTCTAGGACCAAGCCGAAAGCAACCATTTGTGCTGAAGCCTGTTTCCCATTAGAACATATTGTAAAGATCCCCCCCCCCCCCCCCCGTGTCCCCCCCACTTCTAAAGTGAAAATTACGTCCTTGGTGTAGTGTATTTTGTCTGAGTGGGTTTGCCGTACTTTGACGTCATCGGCAGTCGAAGGACCCCGAGCCAATTTTGCACCCGAGCAGATCTTGTACCGACACCGGTTCCGTGAGGAATTCTGTGCAGGAAGTCGCATTTCAGGCTCTCTTCACATCATATGTTACTGATTTTTACGTTATAATAACGACAACACACTATGAATATTATAAAGCGCCTATATAGGACAGTTTCTTTTGTATTTTATCTGACTTTATAACCAACAACAACGTGCTTCTATTTTTTTTTTCAGGCTAAATCTGCCCAAGACACTGGCTGTCAGACTGATTTTGTCGTCTGCAAGAATGCACTTGTCCAGGCTGACGTGAAGCCTTACCCATAGCAAAGGTGAATTATTTTTAATAATCGTCTATGTAAACATTTTATTATCACCTTCTAGTTATTATTTGTTTTACAGATTATTGTTACACGTGATTGTATGCTCTTTTAAACATTTATAAATGTGCTGCTTATTTGTTTTTTACATAGCCAGCCAGAATGGAGTTCACAGCCGCTGTGTGTCTTGTGACACAGGGACCATGATGGAAATTCATCTTCCAGAAAGTCCCAGAGCAGCGTCCACACCCCTGAAAAGACCAAGATGTGAGGTGTCTGCTGTTGATTAAAGCTTCCACCTCAGTGACAGTGCAAGCTCAGTGAACTGTTCAAGGTAAAAAAATTAAAACATTTCAGAATTTTTAAGATATTAACAATTAAATAAGTATGTGATTACATCATGAAGGAGGCTACTGATTCTGGCCCTGTGACACTTGGTGGTGACGTGTGAGCTGATTCACCTGGAAAATAACTTTTACATTAAATATTTTGTTCTTTGCTATCAAAAGTAAACTAACTAATAACCTGCATTATTGCTGGACACTCAGCAAAATATGGACTCTACACCATGAGGCGAGAGGGTGCTCGCTGCAGAACCAAAAAGGCGGAGCTGCACCAGAGTCAGCCCCGCCCATTCACGCAAACTCAGCCTAGCCCATTGACTTCCGTTTTTGTTTTTCAACTTTATCGCAAACTAACCTGACCCACATGAATTACGGCTGTTACTAGTTTACAGTCGTTAATGCTATGTTGTATGCTCCAATTAAACAAGATAAATATAACTTGCTACATGAAAAAGCCTGAATATATCTCGAAATGAAAAGGTTTTTCTAGTGAATATCTGCCCACTGCTGCTCTAACAAAACTGTCACACAACATCTATCAAATGGGTTCTGGTAGTCCAGTGGCAAGATAGTGTGCGTTAGATTTTGCTTTCCCCTCAGCTGATGCTGATTCGATTCTCGGTGGGGTCGGCAGTAATCTATTTAGCCAGCTGAAACATTTAATTTGTTTATATTTTAGTTGTAATGTTTATTTTCAGCAAAATATTTATGTCTCTAAAAGTTCTTTGAATTTCGTCGTTCCTAAACAGCATTTTAGTTGAAACTCTGCTCAAAAATGGACTCACACTGGCTAAATAAATGAATAAATAAATAAATCACATTAGTCATTATATGTTAAACGGTATACCAGTAAATTGTTGTAAACATAGTACTGGCAAGTGTAGCTAGAAATGAAGAAAAGGGGTTGTGAAACTACCAATACTTCCGCTACTGGGAGGCGAACCTGCGCAAAACTGCATCTCAACCTGACTCCATAACCACTACACCACCACATCTGATAATAGTTAAATGACGTTACATGTAATTGTGCTATCCAGTGTGTCTTTGGAGATGGGATGTATAATTTCTTGGCGGTGTCTCAGTAGAAGTCATTTCAGAAATAATTTGTCAGAAAATTCACAGAATATCCAGATTTGAAAACCAAGACCAGACCCGCTTCGGGGGAGGAGGCCAAATAGAAGCTGAGATGGGAGGAAAATGCATGAATGAGGCCAAAAATGGCTTTGGCGTGTTTCTTATGAGGAAATGACAATATAACATGATTAAAAGTTCCAAGAGTTAGATTTTTAATTATATGGAACCTTTACAAAAACTGCTCAGTTAACTTCTCAACTCCGTCCTCAATCTTGCATTTTTTAGCTATAACACCCTCTTTGGTTCCAGAATGCTATCAAGTCTGACAACTGGAAGGAATTGGACTGACTCTGATGGAATGGGCGGGGCTGATTCTGGAATGGGCGGGGCTGAATCTGGTGCAGCTCCACCTTCTGGTGCAGTTCCGCCTTTGTGGTTCTGCAGCGAGCACCACTTGCATGAGGCAGGCACACGTTAATACTTTATAAGAGCACATAAGGTGAGCAGCACCACAGATTATTATTATTAATGTACACTGTCCTGGATTTGTTTTCTTTCTGCACCTAATCATTAGCCTGGCTGATCACCTGATAACTCCTGTCATCTGGTTATGACAGCATGAGGATGTCCTCACACACCTGTAACCTATCAGCTCATCTGGCAGAATAGAGAGAGAAGAGACAACACCACATCTCCTGTTCCTGGAAAGTCTTCAGCCATCCTTCGATGACTAAGAACCTCCACCAGCTCTGTCTCCTGTCTGCCTACAATTATTATAATAAATAGTGTGTTTGAGAAGTTTTTTGTGCTGCCAAATATCTCATTTTGATTCCAGTTTTGATATTTTAATGGAAATTTATAAATTACATTAATTGAATTATCACATTGTTGCATGTTTAACTAGCTCTATTGTGATGAATTAAACTAGCACCTCACTGTTAAAAGCTCATTTTAATTTCAAGCATGTTGTCAACCCCCCCCCCCCCCACACACACACACACACACTTTTTCCAAAGTCAAGTTTTGACCCCTGCAATTTTTGCCATCCAAAAACAATATTACGCTATATTAAATTGACACTGGTTGAGCTCTAGGACCAAGCGGAAAACAACTGTTTGTGTTGAAGCCTGTTTCCCATTAGAACATACTGTAAAGATACCCACCCGTGTCCCCCCCCCCCCCCCCCCCCCCCCACTTCTAAAGTGAAAATTACGTCCATGAACTCAGATGACCGAGTCCAATAGAGGGAACCAGTGCTTAATTTGTAAATCAAACTTTCCTGGAATGCAAATACTGATGTCAAACCAAAGTTCACTAAAGGTAAAACAGATGCTGTCTGGAGCGTGTCAACGATCAGAGCTCGGCGCCTCTCAGCTCAAAATTATCCCGGAGAGTCGACATAGATAATTTAATATAAGTAGAACCAGGATCGGTTTTGGGCTAGCAGTTGTTTTTTAAAGACCATCTTTCATGTAACTATGGTAAGCACAAAGGATGAAATATCGCTAGAGGAAAATTTGAATTTCCCAACAAAACTTCAGTGGGCGGCCTGATAGGTTCAAGGATGCACTGGACAACTGATAGACTTGTATTAAAATTGAAAATTTTTATTACCAAAGTTTTTCAAACTAAATGCTACTTAAAATACGCAGGACTCGGAGAACATGCATGGTCAGCCAGCACTGGACCTGGGGAGTCAGCTGTTGACCTAACTTGACTAAACACCAAAAAAAAAAAAAAAAAAAAAAAGGCATGCAATCATAGAAACAAAAGTACAAATCAAAGGAAAATCAAAAACTACTAAATGCAGTCAAATTTGTAATATACCACTAAAACAACAAAAACAAACAGCTGACACCAAGCCTGAACCCTATGAGGGCGAACACTTGGCCTCTGATTCTTTCACTGTGGAGTCAACCACATGCTGATCCAGCAAGACGGGCCACGAACAACCTAGACAGCACAGCCAAAACAACCAAAGGCGAGACAAGACTAGCCAGGCCTGCACAGAGAACTAGTCTGGTTACCCACAGGCAGAGAGGCACTTAAGGGGCGGGACTAGGCAGCTCAAAAATAACCAATCAGAAAAATAAGACTGTACCGTGCTGTAGTTTTTTAGCTATAGTCAAAAATTATGTCTGGCGATGGCGCAACCATTTTTTTTTTTTAGAAGAAAGGCTTTTAGCGCTTCTTCTTGTGGTTTTAAGGACATTCAAGTCATTTAGAACAGAGGAAAGAGCTGCAGTGAACTTTATGCGGAAAATCAGCGTTGCAGTGTGTGACGTACGCTGCTAAGCGCTGATTGGCTCGGTTAGAATTCTCAGGGGGTGGAGTTATTTGAATAGGAGAGTTCCTAAACCCAATGCTTCCCATACGGAAGCATGGGGCTGGCTGGCCAGGCTATGACAAGACAGGACAGGACAAAACAGCAACAGTCTCCTAGTGTGCCATCACTACAGTGTTTTCAGTATTGTGCTCAGTGTTTGCAGTCTGAACCTGCACTGAAGTGCAGCCTTCTAGTTTTTTTTGACAGCCCTGATTGCTTTCGCCATACAATCAGTTTACATGTTCAGCTTTAAACACAGAATAGGCATCTGTTAAGAACAGGACACTGTCTGAGTTTGTAGGACATGTTAATAGTATTGGAAAAGCTGGAATGTCCCGCACAAAGTGGGACATCTGGTCACCCTAGCTGGGGTCAATCCTGGAACCACCAGCTAAACAACTGAAACTGTACTTATATTTATACAGCTCACAAAGTACCAACCACTGGTAAGGTAAATATTTCTACACGACACAAACCCTTTTAACAGCAGAGGATATGTGCCATGCTAAACTCTCTGCTGCAACACTCCGTAAGTGAAATGTAAGGACAGCAGCTCCGACTGAAGCTAATCATTGTGAAATGATGAGCAAAGCACACAATACAGCACCACCTCTCATTGGAAACCGGAATTTAGTCAAAAATCTAGAGCTTAGGGAACACGTTATGTAGCTCATTGGCCAGGAAGAAGTTGAAAGTGGGCCAGATGCAGACCTGATCAGGGGTAAGGAGCACCTGCCAGGGTTGAAGACTGATATAAAGGAACTGGTACCAAGCAGTCAACACTTTCTTTTTCAATTCTAACGGACTACAGGGGAGTCGCTGAGCCACAGAATATTTCTTTGGCAATGGCTGATTTAAATTCAACTTAGTGCAGAGATTAAATAGGACATTAAGGTTGGTTTATGCTTGACGCGTCTGCGAGGTTCGCACGGCTCCGCGCGGAAAAGTTGCGTCATTTTAACAACCACGCCCCTCCACCGCGCCTCCGCACAGCCCAAACATTCCGCACCACGCACTTAGGAAATTTTCTAACCATGTGGACGGTCGGACGCGGAAAAACATGGCGGACTGGCAAGAACTAGTATGGCAGAGGTTCGTAAATACAGACATTTGTATGATTCAGCTCTCAGAGATCACCGTGATCAACATGTTGTTAATAATTCTTGGAGAGAAATAGCTCGCACTGTCGGAAAAGACGAGGACACTGTTAAAAAATGCTGGAATGCCATGTTGTAAACAACAGTAATTTTTACTTCTACTATGGTGTAGTGTTGGATGCATGCCATAGAGCTCCATGCTGCCCCCTACAGTTTGGGAGAATATTGGCTCACCACAGAGACAAGCTGCATGAACCATAAACGCTGCAAGTTGTGAAGCGCGTTCCATCCACGAGCCGCATCACCAAGCGGAAAGTGGATGCGTCAAGCATGAACCAAGCTTTAGTCTGCCGCAGTGGTAAAGTCCTTAGGCAAGACATTAAAACCCTCCATGACAGCTGGATTGAGTCAGAGAGGCCAGTGGCGCTAGTGATCGTAAGTCTTGCTTCTTTCAGTGCGCCCAAGGGCAGCTGTTGCTGCAATGTAGCTCATCACCATCAGCATGTGATTGTGTGTGTGCATGGGTGAATCACTGTATGTGTTGTGAAGCCCTTTAGGCTGATTCATGATTCTACGTCTGCGTCAGCGCGGAGACACGCAACGCCATTATCCGTCCTTGCGTAGGTTTCCGGCAGGCACGCAAGTACGTACGGAGTCGAGCCCACCTTTTTAAACGTCCGTCGAACGAGACGGAGAACACAAGCTTGTGATTGGTCAGGGCACCGCTGTCGTTTACACCGCCGCCATTGCGCCCTCAAAAACATAAAGAGAGCCGAGGATAACTAGCGGCAGACACGGAGAAGCTTGATGAGAACCTCGCGAAAAACTCTAAAACATGAACGTTTAATTCCCCGTGACAGGGGGAGTGAAAAGATGTGCAGCAAAAATTTTTATTTGTGGACGGAAATGACAGGAAACGTGGGTTTAGAGGTGGCGAGCGCATGAAGAGGTGGAGAATGAGACAAATTTGTCCATGTTAAAAATTCTCTTATATAAAAAAAAAATATATATATATATATATATAAACACACTATCTTGGACCGGATACATGACAGGATACCACAGAACAGCGCTACGCCCTCTGTTGTCCTGCCGGAGAATTGCTTTGCAACACTCCCCAGGGGACGGAGAAGTATGAGAGCAAAAGGTCTCCGTCAATCCGTGCGCGACTGTCCCTTGCGGAGCTGACGGAGAAGCATGAATCAGCCTTTAGGGGGATGTAAAACCCTAGAATGTGCTATACAAAAACAAGTTATTGACCATTTTAAATGAGTTCTTTGTGTCCAGTGTGGATTCTCATGTGCCTGTTTAAAGTTTTCTTATAGCCAAATCTTAGTCCACAAAGTCCACAGTCAAAAGGCTTCTGTCCTGTGTGGACACTCATATGACTGTTTAATGTAGTCTTTTGGCTAAATCTTTGTCCACAAAGTCCACAGTCAAAAGGTTTCCGCCCTGTGTGGACACTCATGTGACTGTTCAAATGTTCCTTTTGGCTAAACTTCTGACCACATATTTCACAGGCAAAAGGTTTCTGTCCTTTGTGGACCCTCATGTGTCTATTTAAACTTGTCTTATGACTAAATCTTTGTTCACAGAGCTCACATACAAAAGGCTTCTGTCCTGTGTGGACTCTCATGTGAATGTCTAAATTTCCCTTTTGGACAAATCTTTGTCCACATAGCTCACAGGCAAAAGGTTTCTGTCCTGTGTGGACTCTAATGTGACTTTTTAAATGTGCAATTTGGACAAATCTTTGTCCACAGAACTCACAGGCAAAAGGTTTCTGTCCTGTGTGGACTCTAATGTGACTGTTTAAGTGTGACTTTCGGCTAAATCTTCGTCCACAGAGCTCACAGGCAAAAGCTTTCTGGCCTGTGTGGACTCTCATGTGAGTGTTTAATGTTGTCTTTCGGCTAAATCTTTGTCCACACAGTTCACAGGCAAAATGTTTCTGTCCTGTGTGGAGTCTAATGTGACTGTTTAAGTGTGACTTTCGGCTAAATCTTTGTCCACAGAGCTCACATGCAAAAGCTTTCTGTCCAGTGTGGATTCTCATGTGACTGTTTAAACTTGTCTCATGGCTAAATATTTTTCCAGAGTCATCACAACTAAAAGATTTTGGTTCTTTCTGGAATTTCCTGTCTGTATCTACATGTTGCTTCACTCTAACACATTCAGGAAAGCTAAAGGACTTGTTGACAGTCTTAACTGAATCAGAAGACTTGTTCTCGTTCCAGTCACTGTTATCATCTCCCGTTTCAGGCTCAGAGTCTAGATTCACATCATCATCAACCTTCTCCTCGTCTCCACTAATTTCAGTCTCTGAAGAATCTGACTGTTCATGATGGCTTAGATCTGGGTTCCTGCTAGTTTCTGCTCCTCCACCACTCACTGTCATCTGGTCAGCCGAGCTGCTGGTTGGAACGTCTCTGTCTTCCATTTGCTGCTGAAAATGTGATAAAACAGCGTTCTCTTCATCATCCTCACTCTTTATACAAACTATTGTGAAGGGAAACTCGACAGCATCATTCTCCTCTTTCAAATGGAGCTGTTCTCCGTCCAAACTGGTGCAGGGTTCCTCCTCTTCCTCCTTTATATGGAAGTATTCTGGGTCTTGCTGGTTCACACCCGTACTCTGTTCCTGAGGTGCCTCTTCTTTAACCAGCGCCATTGGTTGAACATCTATAGGAATCACAGTACCACATGATGTAATGTATCTGCTGTAACTATTTATTCACATATAATAATAAACAGTTGTGGTGTCAGCACAATGCATCACGTTCTTCCTACAGCACCCCCACCCACCCACACCCACACACACCTGTATCCATGCTGTCCAGATCCAGATGGTGAAGTAAACACGATGAATCAGTCCCAGCTGATGGATGATCCTGAAGTGGGAGCAGGTTTTCTTTAGCCGTGTTTAGCTAACAGCTGCAATAGAAACAAAGCAGGAGAGCTGATTAAGATGCTGCTTCAGAACAACTCATGAGATTAAAGATCCAACGCTTTGGTTCTGATCAGCTGAGGACAGATCCAGTCTGGAAAAGAGGACCTTTGGTCACCAGAGTTCACGGAGTAGAGCTGACCGCTTTTTCCTCCAGAGTCACATTCAGATTCGGGGCTTTTCCGTCGGAGAGTGTGAGCAGGATGGATCAGAGAGCGAGCAGCGATGCTGCATCATGACCAACTCAGATGAGCGAGTCTGATAGAGGGAACCTCTTCAATCTGATAAAAGCAGCTAAACGAGCGCGTTTCTCAGAGAGGCCAAAGGAACAGAAGCAGACCCAGAGGACAGGAAGTCTAGAGAAAAGCTTTTCTGACCCATCACCTGCTTTTGTAGCTCCGATTGTCACGAAGACCGCAGAATATCTTCTCTGGTTCTGGAAAGAACTCGCACCAAGTTGTTGAGGAGGAGAAAGTTTCCACAGCCTGGTAAGAAGATTTCTGCAGCAGCAGTTAGTCGCTTTAGCTGATCAACTCTCCCAGAGACTGAAGTGAAGACATTTTTACTGCAGAGCCTCAAATATTCACCTCACGCACCAGAACAACAACAAGCTAACTCTGCTACCAGCTTTCTTCTTCTTCAGTTTTTAAATGTTTGAAACCAACGTAAATATGCACTAGCGACACCTGCTGGAATAGAGTCTGAATGAACGAGTAGCCCCTCACTGCAGCATGCAGGGCGGGGCGCAAAGTGACCTCGCGGGCGCCATGTTGAAAAAACCGATGTAGAGGCCGGCCGCCATTTTAGATAGGTCTTCTACGCCCACTTGGGCCCAGTTTACTCATTTCTACAGATGAACGTGCTAACTAAAAACACATATGGTTTGGCATGATAATTGAAATATAAACATAATTAAACAAAATAAAATTAAATATAAAAATCTATCGGTTAAACATTTGACCCCGCTCACTGAAACCACTGAAACTGAAACCGCTGAGGAGCTTGTGTGACTGTGACAGAGAGAAGTAGCACGCAGAATGGAGGTAAGCATGGATTTTCATTCAGTTTTAATGATACAAAGCATAAATGTTGTGGCGAAAATGTTATTAACCTGGACCTTTTTAGTGTGTAAAATGTTTGCTTGGTACATTAAAAACACAATATTTGTATCTGAAAATTGTATTCTGGGGGAATATTAATGACATTACTAACCTCTTGACTTACAGTACACACTGTAGTAATGGGGGCCAATTGTGACCTCAGAGAGGTATGTGAAAATTGTGACACATTACACTTAGTACACATTACGGAGGGCGGGGCGCAACGTGACCTCGCGGGCGCCATGTAAAAAAAAACGATGTAGAGGCCGGCCGCCATTTTAGATAGGTCTTCTTCGCCCACTTGGGCCCAGTGCACTCATTTCTACAGAGGAACGTGATAAATAAAAACACATATGGTTTGGCATGATAATTGAAATATAAATATAATTAAACAAAACAAAATTTAATATAAAAATCTATCGGTTAAACGTTTGACCCCGCTCACTGAAACCACTGAAACTGAAACCGCTGAGGAGGGTGTGTGACTGTGACAGAGAGAAGTAGCACGCAGAATGGAGGTAAGCATGGATTTTCATTCAGTTTTAATGATACAAAGCATAAATGTTGTGGCGAAAATGTTATTAACCTGGACCTTTTTAGTGTGTAAAATGTTTGCTTGGTACATTAAAAAACACAATATTTGTATCTGAAAATTGTATTCTAGGGGATTATTAATGACATTAGTAAATTAACCAGTACCGCTTGACTTAACAGTACACACTGAAGTAATGGGGGCCAATTGTGACTTCAGAGAGGTATGTGAAAATTGTGACACATTACACTTAGTACACAACGTTTTATTCTTCAACACATATCGGAATCTACCTGCATTTCCTTTTTCAAAGGAAAACATGCAGCAAATTAGGAGACGGGGGTGTCTTGTTCTCCTGCAAAACGTCCCCATGCCGAAAGTGCCTTCCATGATCACACTTTTTCTATCAGATACTTAAAAAAAGGGTTTAATCACTGTTAAAAAACAACATGTCATGGCCTCACCAAGGTCTGAGGAAGACAGATTGCAGGAAAGATAAAGACAGAGGGAGCAAAAAGGAAAACAGGTGGGAGGTAATTGGATTAATTAATCTTGTAGTCAAACTTTTGCTGGCAGACTAAAGCATAATCCCTTCACTTATTTCATGATCTGGAAGTGGTCCCTCCTAAAAGGTTCAGGCTTTCAGAATCTGTCTGTGAAGCATATTCAAACCAGTATTATTACACACAACCCCCAAGGTTGTAGAAATGGGATGTGACAAAGCGGGTTTTGCTGTCATTACTCCGTTTACATTAAACCAGTATGCTTAAAATAAGCTAGTGACCTTTTGCACGCAAAGCAACTGGCCCGGACGGGATTCCCGGCCGCGTCCTCAGGTCATGTGCGGCTCAGCTGGCTGGAGTGTTTACACACATCTTCAACCTTTCCCTCTCTCTGTCTGTAGTCCCAGCCTGCTTCAAAATGGCCACCATTGTCCCTGTACCCAAATCCTCCACCATCTCCACATTGAATGACTGGCGACCTGTAGCCCTGACCCCATCGTGAGCAAATGCTTCGAGAAGTTGGTCAGGGACTTCATCTGCTCTGCACTGCCCGATTCACTGGACCCTCTACAGTTTGCATACCGCCACAACAGGTCCACTGATGATGCCATAGCCCTGACACTCCATGCTGCCCTGTCACACCCAGAAAAGAGGGACACGTATGTGAGAATGCTGTTTGTAGATTACAGCTCAGCATTCAACACCATTCAAGAAAAAAAAATTAAAACACGTTCAACCACAAATTTTTTTCTTTCACCTTTGTCCTCCATGGCTTTTATCACAAACACTCCCAGGTCTTTTGTCCAACAAGAATTCCCTCTAGCTAATTGAAGGAGTCCTAGCTGATCTCCACCCTAGTCTTCATGGGGCGTAGAGATGGGCCGATTAAGCACATGTGCCGAGGCACATTCAAACCAGCAAAGGGAGGGGGTTAGCCACAGCCCTTCCTGGGGTGCTCCCGAGATGGTGAATTGAATCACCAACACTAACCTCCATAACCCCAACTCTAGAAAAACAAAAACCAGAACACATCCTAAAGAGGGTGCGCTCCTACAGCCTATAGGGAATTCACTCTGTTCACTTTAGTATTTTAACAAGCACAACAGAATAAAACAAAAAGGACATACTCACAATACCTGAGAGGACACAGCTGACCACACATCTTAAAATCCTATGAATAAAGCCTGTTTGCAAAAAGCACATGCCATTAAAAGTCCTTCATGGGATGGTTGAGGTTCCCGGACGAGCCCCCATTGTGTTACGTCCTCTATTGGTGGATATGGAGAAGGACGGGGAGTAACACAGAGGCATGTGCTTCAGTTGTGGAAATTGTAAACATTGATTTATTAAAAGGATTTTAAAATGACAAAAAGCTCCAAATCTAAAAGTACTTAAACACATTGTTAAAATGGCCAAGGGTTTACGTTTAAAACAGACATCGAATGCTCCCAAACATTCACAAAACAAAGTCCACTGACTTAAACACAAGTTTGGGAGCCAAGAGGTAACCAGCACTCTGGTCCCTCGTCTGTTAAAAACCTCTAAAAGCTCTTAAGCTTCACTAAGCTTAAAGAACTAAAACCCCATTTAAAAGCCATTAAAACACAAACAAATGGAGCACATGAGAGAACTGGCACAGATCCAGTCTTTCCTATCCTCCTGGCAGCTCTCCCTTTTATGCTGCTCAGGAGGTGATCAGCCCAAGTGAGTGCAGCTGTGCAGGTAGGAGGTGGAGGAAGCACTGATTGTACTCTGCAGTGTCAGATTTCTGAGGTAAAACAGCAACAGCCGTAACAGTTCCCTCGAAGCTGGACAGGAAACTGCAGGATCTAGGACTGAGCAGCTCCCTCTGCAGCTGGATCCTTAACTTTCTGTCTGACAGACGCCAGGTGGTCAGACTGGGCAGCACCACCTCATCCCCCATCACACTGAACACTGGTGCTCCACAGGGGTGTGCGCTGAGCCCTCTCCTGTACTCACTCTACACCCACGACTGCACGGCCACGAGAAACTCCAACATCATTGTGAAGTTTGCGGACGACACCACAATGGTGGGTCTCATCACCGACGACGATGAGACGGCCTACAGGGAGGAGACCAGCGCCCTGACCCACTGGTGTCAGGACAACCGTCTCACCCTCAACGTCACAAAGACAAAGGAGATGATAGTGGACTTCCGGAGGAGCAGAGGAATACACACCCCCATCACCATCAACAGCGACGCTGTGGAGAGGGTGAGCAGCTTCCGTTTCCTTGGAGTCCATCTGACTGAGGATCTTACGTGGTCAGTGCACACGAACAATACAGTGAAGAAGGCACAGCAGCGCCTCTTCTTTCTCAGGAGACTGAAAAGATTTGGCATGAGCCACCGCATCCTCAGGACCTTCTATCGCTGTGCCATTGAGAGCATCCTCACTGGATGCATCTCCGCCTGGTATGGCAACAGCACCGCTTACAACCGCAAATATCTCCAGAGAGTAGTGTGGTGTGCTGAAAGGATTATTGGAGGTGAGCTTCCCTCCCTCCAGGACATCTACAGGAAGCGGTGCCTGAGGAAAGCGGGGAGGATCATCGAGGACTCAAGTCACCCCAGCCATAAACTATTCAGACTACTTCCATCAGGAAGGAGGTTCTGCAGCATCCGGTCCAGAACCAGCAGACTGAGAGACAGCTTTTTCCATCAGGCCATCAGACTGCTGAACACGGCGCAGACACCTCACCCTCACTACTGAAACTCCAACATTACACACTCCATACATTAATGCCACGGTTTTGCACACACCAGCCTCTGTATATTTATATCTCTTATTTTATTGTTTACTTTATTCATTTGTAAAACACATATATACACACTATACACACACAAACACACTCACACGCACACACGTAGAACAATATATTAAAAAAATAAAAATAAAAAATATATATATACTTGCATAAACATTTAGCAATGTATATACATTACAACTTATACATATTATTACTTAGATTAGCCATTTTTATATTTTGCTTGTTTTTACGTTACTGTATTTTTGCACAACTCTGTTGCTGTGAAGCTCGCACACAAGAATTTCACTCGCATGTACTGTACCAGTGTACCTGCACATGTGACGTGACAATAAAAGTGATTTGATTTGATTTGACACAACCCCCAAGGTTGTAGAAATGGGATGTGACAAAGCGGGTTTTGCTGTCATTACTCCATTTACATTAAACCAGTATGCTTAAAATAAGCTAGTGGCCTTTTTTACATTTTGTATTGTTTATGTGCCTTTAAGAAGCACAATCTGTTTCCTTTCTAGTGGAGGCTGAGAACAGTCCAGAACGTATGTTACCTGCTGTGGGCTTTTCTAATTTCACCGTTTCTGCCTTCTCCAACTTGTATTTTAATATTTATTGTGTTTACTTTTGATTAGGAGAATTCTCTGCTGAAGGACGCCTTTGAGGCAGCAAGGTGGTGTGGCACCAGATCCTTCAGAGGAAAACTTTCCCTTCCCCAGGTCATCACCATGGACAAGGAAGTTTCCTAGAGGGCGGTACAGATGTTGCACGTGTGACGGCCTGGATGACGATGATGAGGAGCTTAAACATGTGAGGGAACCGTTCCTGTTCACTTTTAGTTTGCAGGAAGACTACGAGGAGTTCTGTGTTGAACTTTGTGGCAAGAGGAAGATAGAATAGAATAGAATAGAATAGAAAACTTTATTTGTCAATTTCTTCAAATGTGCTTGTCATACAAAGGAATTGAAATGACGTTTCACACTGTCCCATGCGTAGACATTGACAACATAAAGTGCAGATGCACAACAAAAACATCCCTAACAATAAGGTAATATTAAATAGGTAACAGGATAGACAAGACCTAACCTATGAACAAATAAATTAAATAAGGTGTTCCAACAGTGTTCCCTGGAAGTAGTGACTGAAGTTTGGCAGCAAACATCTGATTATTCTGGTCTGATTGGACTTTGCCCGAGTGGTTATTCTTTTCTTAGCCAGCCCCGGGGTTCTGGTCGTGGTGGAGGCCTAGCTGTTGTTTTCAGAGACCATCTTCCATGTAGCTCTATAACCTCTGGTCACTTTGCTTCCTTTGAACTGCAGCTGATTAAAGTCGGGCGTAAGGACCCGTTCTACTGTGCTTTGGTCTATCGTCCACCTGGTCCAAACAGTTCTTTCCTTCAGGAGTTTAGTGACTTTCTATCCTCCACTGTGATGCTGTCCAGACTGGTGATTGTTGGTGACTTTAACATCCACGTTGATGATCCCTCCGATCACTTTGCCGTTACACACCTGCTTAGACTCTATCAAAACCTGGATGGTGGGAGCTTTCTTCAGCTGAATGAAGATAAGACTGAGATCCTCATCTGTGCCCCAGACAAGCTGGTTCCCAAAGTCAGAGACACTCTTGGTCAGCTTGCTTCCCACACCAAACCTTCTGTCAGGAATCTTGGTGTGACCTTTGACCCAGCTCTCACCCTGGATTCTCATGTCAGTTCTCTTGTTCGCTCTTCCTTCTTCCATCTCAGGAACGTTGCTAAGCTGAGTCCCATTCTGTCCCGCTCTGAACTTGAGACAGTTCTCCACACCTTCATCTCCTCACGCTTAGACTACTGTAACTCTCTTTTCACGTGTCTGAGTAGAGCCTCCCTGAACCGTCTACAGGTGGTTCAGAATGCCTGTGCTCGGCTTCTGACCAAGTCCTCCAAACACACCCACATCACCCGCTTCTCCTCCAGCTTCACTGGCTGCCAGTCAACTTCAGGGTTCATTTCAAGATCCTGGTTCTGGTCTATAGGGCCTTACATGGACAAGCACCATCTTACATTGGTGATCTTCTTAGTCCCTACACCCCCAGCAGGTCCCTGAGGTCCAGTGATCAAAGCCTACTGGTTGTGCAGCACCAGGCTAAAGACCAAAGGTGACAGATCATTTGCTGCTGTGGGCCCCAGACTCTGGAACTCTCTCCGCCCAAGCCTGAGATCAGTGGACTCAGTGGACTCCTTTAAAAAGCAGCTGAAGACTCACCTGTTCAAGCTGGCTTTTGTATGACCTTCTTCAACCCCTCTCTCTTTATTCTGCTCTCCCCACCTATTCCACCTTCCTCAGGCTCCACTGATTTCCATCTTTCCTATTCACTCTCTCTTTCTTAACATTTTTTCTTTTAAATCCCAATTGTCTATTTTTGCTCATTTTAAATATATTTTTTAAACATTTTCTAAATGCTTTTTTATACTTTTACATTTTTTGTTTTTGTGAAGCGCCTCGTGATTTTTATCTTGAGAGGTGCTATAGAAATCATATTTTCTTCTTCTTCTATAAAACACCATGCAATATCCAATAATCCAAAATTGCGTGCCCTCGCTAACAACTGATAACATTTTATTACACACTACAAAATGTAATCATAAACTGATCACTTCAACCTTGAAGTCCTGAAAAAAAAACACATAAAAAATAAAAACCCTTTTCCATTAATGTGAAGTACCCACTAGCACCCAAATTAAAAGAAACACATTCTAAAATTATATCCAGTGATTACCCTGTTGGAGATTTTTTTTACATCAAAGATTTAAGTTTGAGACTGACCCTGGTTTTTTTGCTCCTCTGAAGCAGAAACAAAGCATAGTTTTACAAATATCTGTTAAGGTCTTATCCTCTGACATTCATGGTTGGAGCTCACCCAAAATCTCTAATGTATCTTCCTTTACATCCAAAGATGATCTTTATTACATGGACAATCTGAACTCTGATATTTCTGACACTGTCAACCTTCTAATTAATTTGTGTAAATATTTTATTCGTAATTGTAAATAGAAGAATACTACACCAAGCTTTTTTCTTTCTGTTTTTGAACTACTTGACGTAACATTTTAAATGTCCTAAATGCATCTATAGAATGAATAAGAAAACTGCCATAATTTACCAAAAGTTTGCGGAATCCCTGTTGTTTTAAATAGGCCTTGCACATTTCATATCAGTCTTTTTTTTTGTGAAAATTATTCACTTAATCTTTCTGTACATGAATTGTTATAACAATGTCAAGTTCCTGGCTTGTTTTGTAAATGTTATTTTGATTAAAAAAATAAATAAATAAAAAAAAACCTGCCCAATATGGCGCCGAGGCTTGCATGCAAATTTTCTCATTTCCGGGGACTGATGAGCCGGCCGGAAGAGGAGGAGACTGGGCTCTTCTTTTCCTCGTGTCTTCTTGTTAAATCACGGAAGAGAAGAGAAATAATGGAAGTCAAGTAATGCACCTCAGCGTTGTTTGCCTACCACCACAAAGCCCTAGAGAAGAAGAAGAGATGCCTTCTCGTAGAGATTCCAGAACAAATTCGCCATGGAGCAACGGAGAGGTGAAAACCTTCCTTTCTTTGGTGGCGGAGGAAAGAATCCAGCGCGAACTGGATGGCGCCGTGAGGAACGAGAAAATATTTCTAGAGCTCGCAGAAGCCATGGCCACGCATGGCTTTAACCGAAGCTCCAAACAGTGTCGCGAAAAACTTAAAAAGTTAAAGATTGAGTATAGGGCGGTTGTACTCCACAACGGTCTGAAAGGGGTAGATAAGCGACGGTGGAAATGGTTTCCAGAAATGGACGCCATTTATGGTAAAAGGCCCGCGAGCAGCGTCCGTGAGAGTGTCGTGGATTCTGCGGGTCCATCTCCAGTTTCCAGTTTCACGTCGGGAATCGGTGAGTTGGGACTTATCATGATATTACTAGAACGTGATGTAAATAGTACCAGACTCAATCACACGTGGTTGCGCTTTTTGTTTACTGTGCAGACAAAAGGCTAGCTCTGCAGACTAGCTTTTTTTTATATCTTTTATTTTAGCTTTATTTAACAAATTGCAAGTATACATCAAGAGAACACAAGAAGCGTACATACAGATGAATACATTTAACAGAACATTCAGCCAGGGGGATTAATTATACAAATATATGTAAAATCTACAAGCATCAATTGTTTTGAGAGCCTTTTTGTTAGCAGATTGAGAAATTAGATTTATATATAGTTCTACATATTTAAGAAAATACGAAAAATAATGGCATCTTATTAGCTAATTTACATTTATGAATGTGGAATTTAGCCAAGAGAAGTAAAAAGTTTATTATAAAAAAGACTAATCATACTTTTTTTGGGGGGGGGTAAAAAAACAAAATGACACATTTTGCCTGCTTAAAGAGAAATCCTTAAAAATATGCTGAATAATAAACTCCTTCCTAAACCTTTGTGTGAAAGAGCAGTGCCAAAACATGTAACAGTTTCTGGATGACCTCCACAAAAACCGCATTTAACATTAATATGTCTTTTAAACTTCACCATGTAGTGCTTTGCAGGGTAAATTTTAGGGCTGCAGCTATCGAATATTTTTGTAATCGAGTACTCTATCAAATCTTTTTTTCGATTAATCGAGTACTCTAATAAATTACCCTTTTGTGTTTGTAAACCATTATATCATATATTGATGAGCCAAGATGGCGTCGAGTATGGCTGCCTCGTCGCGAGTTCCACCAAGTTCCAACATTACACGCTCCATACTGTACATTAATGCCACTGTTTTGCACATACCAACCTCTGTACATTTTATATCTCTTATCTTATTGTTTACTTTATTCATTTGTATACTTAGATTAGCCATTTTTATATTTTACTTGTTTTTACGTTACTGTATTTTTGCACAACTCAGTTGCTGTGAAGCTCGCACACAAGAATTTCACTCGCATGTACTGTACCAGTGTACCTGCACATGTGACGTGACAATAAAAGTGATTTGATATCAAATAGCATGTTATAATTATGAAAGACTTCTTAAAATGAGCAAGCAATTGCCAGTTATTCTTCAAGTTTTATTCAAAATTAGTTTGCATAACTTCAGCACTTCAACTTTACTTCACAGTAAACAAATGCCTGTGCAAAAAATAAGTAAACAACCTGAGCCGATTTTCCCCTCGTGTGAGAATCTGCTAGCCTGCAAGCCAGACAAAAACTAGGAGGATAACGCTGCGAGCGGCTGCGGCCCAAACAGAACCAGAACCGCTCACGGCGCAAACAGCTCGCCGGCTGTTTCCCTATTAACACACGTCCGTTTTAATTTCCACACTTTTTTCCTCACACTAACAAGGATTGCCAAAAGCATGTTTGCTGTGGTTTTGTCAAATTATACTGATCACAAAACATGTATTTACTTTCTTTCGTTTTCCTCCGCCACTCATAAATACCCGTGTCCTCCTGCAGAAACCCCGAGGGACAACAGACATCAATAACACAATAGAAAGTCCGACATATTGTGTAAAAACTGCTATTTTTAGCACATTTTAAGTCCGACGTGTTGCTACCAGATGTACGGTGTGAGCTGAAACTGAAGTGCTACAAACGAAAAAGTCGCAGTGTCTGCAGAATATATAGAAAAACAGGCTAAAAAGCATTATCTTGTAGAGGCTCCGAGTCCGCTTGCAGAAGTGACATTTACAGGTGCTGCAGCACGGAGGATGTGGTGTTGTGGTAGGTTAAATCCATTTTACTGTATTTATACTGGACTACGTTTTCGGCCTTACGACGTGAAAAATGGTCCCACAACTTTGACTTTTTCTGTCTTTTTCGCACTCCACCGGGGACCACGTTGTTAAGAGAAAGTTAAGTTATATTCGCTACTCGCGTGTGCATTCAGTGCAGTGGGCATGTGCGTCACTTATTTCGGTCCGGGTCAAACATGACCCCGGGCGATTGCAAAGCCATGAATTAATTAAATATGAATTAAACGAATCCTCGAGGCAGAGAATTTGACTCGAGGATTTTTTGTACTCGAATTATTCGAGGTACCCGAGGAATCGTTTCAGCTCTAGTAAATTTCATGAAGGATTTTAAATGACACTTCTTTTACCTTATTTTTTTAACGAATATTTATGGGGAGTCATCCATACTGTAGCTTTTTGAAACAAACAGCCTATTTGTTTATTGCTGTTACCACGTCCGTGTAAAAAGCAGACTTTCCCCACTGCTGATTCAGTTGGACCTGATAGTGTAAATTGAGTAGGTGGTAAATTATCAGTTTTTTAAACAGCATTAACTCATTTGCTGCCATCCGTTTCCTGATCGGTAAAGCCATTCGTTGTCAACGTTTCTCCACATTTTTACTGTTTAAGAGTCACAGAACATTGCGCACTAGGATGATGTCGACGTCAAATCAACCAAAACAAAGAGTAGACTCACCTCTTTCATCAGGAAGAATCCGCACGGTTCGAGCTTTATCAGTTCTTTCATAATTCGATGTTGAATTGTGATCGGCAGAAGCTTTTCCAGTTCGCGCCTCACTTTTTTTCACAGCAGCGGCCCAAAACGATCTCCTAACACGTGGATTTACGGCTTCCTGATCGTGTGACGTATGCGGATGAAGATCGGCTTTAGAGCGGTGATGTTTGTTCTCACTGTGCGGGGGCTCGTTCCGATGCCCATGCAGTAAAAAAAATGCCGGTGAACGGTTAGATTTAAAATGACGACTTTAGTCGTCAGTGGCAGTGAATGAGTTAAAGTTCCTGGGGGTATTGAGCCTTTGCACCGACGTCACCTAATCACGTGGGTTCACCATGCTGGACGGCATTAGCATGTAAACAGTGAGCGACACGATTACTAAACAAAGGGAAAAGTAGAGCCTGAAATATTTTTTGCGATCAAAACAAAAACAAAACTCCTCCAGCATTCCTTCAACTACTTCATGTCCAGTTCAGTTATCAGAAGAAGCGCATCTAGCGGGGGCTCATAGAGAGCGGTACGCTAACTAGCTTACCAACGTTAGCTTATGTTCTCTCTGCAGCTGTTCACCGATGTAAACATGTTGCTGACTTTGCCTAAATTCACCCCGCTGGATTTATAACTTTATGTTATGAACAGCGTTTCACTTTACACCAAAGCTGATTGTTAAAAGGTCTGGATCCCTGCCAGCTTCTGTTGCTGGTGGTGTTACCGGGTTCAGCTGCTGCTCTCACACCGGAATGAGAAGATCTCTGAACGCCGACGCTCATATAAATAAATAACGTAATTTTAACACACGTAATCATACATCGGAGCTTTAATATTGTTAATTGTCTGGCTTTACACTCAGGGGTGGACATTAACTTCAAAACCAACCGGCCAGCCGGGCCGGTAACTCTGAATATTTACCGGCCCCGCCAATAATCTACCGGCCCCGCTGGTCAGCTGCCAAAACGAGTCAAAATAACAACTGAACCGTTTTAAATGTAATAAACCTTTATTTTGTACACATTCACAAACATAATAACGTATTCCAAGTTTGAATTTGTTTGTTCCCTCAACAAAACTGTCATCGCATACTTCCGGCATACAACGCAGTACATCACCAACTCCGCTTTGCTGTACTCGAGCCATTGGCTGTGTTCGAGATGAGCCAGTTCTGCACAGATTAGACCAGCGGTGATCGGCGAGCGGTGCATGCCCGTTAGATTTGTGTCCGACTTGCCGTCGACTTGCTCTGATGTCATGCATACGTAGGCAACGATAACCTCGTGAGATCAAGGCGGCCGCAGATTTTGGAGCAAGGCGCTGCAGTTGCTCTCCACCGGCTGCAAAACCTAGAGGATGACGGGAAACGCCTGGCTCTCATCTGATCTAAGATCTGATTGGTTCATATTTTGATCCAAACATCTGGTGGTAGAACATGAAATGTTAGTTGGTCACATGTATTCTGTAAATCATGTTACGTTGATGATGACAACTATATAGGCCATAAAGAGAAATGTGTTTTGTGTTCTTTCGTCACGTTTCCTATGAGCACACTGAACCTACAGCTGCTGACCTTTACTTATTATTACAGTCAGGTCTCCATATACAATATATGATATCCCAGGGGTGGACATTAACTTCAAAACCAACCGGCCAGCCGGGCCGGTAACTCTGAATATGTACCGGCCCTGCCAAGAATCTACCGGCCCCGCTGGTCAGCTGCCAAAACGAGTCAAAATAACAACTGAACCGTTTTAAATGTAATAAACCTTTATTTTGTACACATTCACAAACATAATAACGTATTCAAGTTTGAATTTGTTTGTTCCCTCAACAAAACACGATTTTGGCATCGCATACTTCCGGCATACAACTCAGTACATCACCAACTCCGCTTTGCTGTATTCGAGCCATTGGCTGTGTTCGAGATGAGCTAGTTCTGTGCAGATTAGACCAGCGGTGATCGGCGAGCGGTGCATGCCCGTTAGATTTGTGTCGGAATTGACGCCGACTTGCTCTGACGTCATGCATACGTAGGCAACGATAACCTCGTGAGATCAAGGCGGCCGCAGATTTTGGAGCCAAGCCGCTGCAGTTGCTCTCCACCGGCTGCAAAACCTAGGGGATGACGGGAAACACCTGGCTCTCACCTGATCTAAGATCTGATTGGTTCATATTTTGATCCAAACATCCGGTGGTAGAACATGAAATGTTAGTTGGTCACATGTATTCTGTAAATCATGTAACGTTGATGATGACAACAATATAGGCCATAAAGAGAAATGTGTTTTGTTTTCTTTTGTCACGTTTCCTATGAGCACACTGAACCTACAGCTGCTAACCTTTACTTATTATTACAGTCATGTTTTCATATACAATATATGACATCCACAAGCACGTGAGGATGTGTTTCAGCTGCTAACAGGCACCAGAATTAAAATTGAAAATTGAACAAGTGTGAACGCTAACGCAATATCTTCATCCATAGTCACCCCCGAGCTACACATACAGGGAAGTCCAAGAGATTCAACTGGCAGAAACAACTGTTTCACACCATAGTCTCTCTCCTCTCCTCTCCTCTCCTCTCCTCTCCTCCTCTCCTCTCCTCTCCTCTCCTCTCCTCTCCTCACACACACACACACACACACACACACACACACACACACACACACACACACACACGTAGAGGAAAAGAGCTGAGGAAATTGAGGACACCAGGTAGTTAAAAGAAAAACCACAGCGGAGCCGAGGCGCGCCTCGAATGGGGCGCGTCTGATCTGAACTGAGGAGCGGCCGGACTTCGTGAGCGATTCGCTTCGGGCGCTTCCGCTGCCGGTGTGTCCCCGGCGAAACGCCGGCTTTCAGCCACTCCCCCTGCTGCTTCCGTCTGCTCTCGTCTGTTTTCCAGGCGAGGCGCTGCTCAACTCGAACACGGCCATTCTCTGCGCCTCCCATCTTCTTTAAACCGCCAAGAATCATTTTACCTACGCACACGCGTCTCTGCTTCATACCGTTTCGAACTGTCTCGCTTCTCTTCACCAGTTTTAAAGCGTTTTGCCGGAGATTTCATCAAGAAATCCCATCCCTGTGGTGGTGCGATCTTCCTGCGTGCTTGTGTGTTTCTAGCGTGGTTCCACTTCCGTCTTTAATAGTGAACTTATAGTTCACGTGACTATAACTAATCGTGCAGTACGTGCACGGATCGTACAAGTGCAGTAGGTGGCTAGAGGCGCGCAGGTTCACGCGCGCGAAACGAAAACTGCGGCTTCCTACAGGGCGGGGCCATAGGCGAAAGCCGGTGTGTAAATGACAAATAAAGCTTGGGCGCCACCCGGGCGGTAAGTCGTCAAGTATTTACCGCCCGACGAGAAAATTTAGCGCCATTGGCGCTCGGGCGCTTTAACGGTCCACCCCTGTATCCACAAGCACGTGAGGATGTGTTTCAGCTGCTAACAGGCACCAGAATTAAAATTGAAAATTGAACAAGTGTGAACGCTAACACGACATCTTCAGCCATCGTCACCCCCGAGCTACACATGTAGGGAGATCTGTCCGACTTAAACGCCGGCTTTCAGCCACTCCCCCTGCTGCTTCCGTCTGCTCTCGTCTGTTTTCCAGGCGAGGCGCTGCTCAACTCGAACACGGCCATTCTCTGCGCCTCCCATCGACTTTGAACCTCCAAGAATCATTCCACCTACGCACACGCTTCTCTGCTTCATACCGTTTCGAACTGTCTCGCTTCTCCTCACCAGTTTTAAAGCGTTTTGCCGGAGATTTCATCAAGAAATCCCATCCCTGTGGTGGCGCCATCTTCCTGCGTGCTTTTGTGTTTCTAACGTGGTTCCACTTCGTCTTTAGTAGTGAACTTATAGTTCACGTGACTAGAATTGTGCAGTACGTGCACTAGGGCTGTCGCAATAATCGCAAGAACAATATATCGCGATATTAAGAAACCCACCGCGCTGCATGACGTGCCACCGCAATTACCGCACTTGATTAAATCTCGCGACAGCGCATGCTGAGAGGTAAAGTCCGCGCTGATCGAGGAGATAGTAGGGCACTTTTTTTATTTCTGTTAGATGTTGCAGCCAAATTTGCATTTCAAAGTTAAACCTCCTAAATGTTGTTTTTAAGTTCAGTCAGAGAATGCCGTTACTGCCCTTTGATCTGCATTCAATAAAGTGTTAAAAATGGCCATGTATTTTTTTCTAACATTTTTTAAATGCGTAAGCACAATGTTTCAAAGGAAATATTGCCATGAGTTTAGTAATTAACAAACAAATTTGCTAAGTACATAAATAAAAACGGGGTGCAATAATATCGCATATCGCAATATTGAGCTGCCCTGACTCACCGCAGGGGGAATTCCTCAATCGCGACAGCCCTAACGTGCACGAATCGTACAAGTGCAGTACGTGGCTAGAGGCGTGCAGGTTCACGCGCGTGAAACGAAAACGGCAGCTTCCTACAGGGCGCGGCCATGGTGTAGGTGAAAGCCGGTGTGTAAATGACAAACAAGGCTTTGGCGCCACCCGGGCGGTGAGTCGTCAAGTATTTACCGCCCGACGAGAAAATTTAGCGCCATTGGCGCTCGGGCGCTTTAAAGGTCCACTACAGTGGACGGAGCGCAGCCTCCGTGGTGAAATACCCATCCATCAGGATTATCAATAACTAGTAAACACATGTCCCTGTCTTCCTCGTGAAGGGTGAGATGCACCCAGTACATAAAAAAAAAAGACCTTGGGGAGCTTCTTCAAGGTCACTGGGGCAACAACACCAAGACCCTTTCCTTACCAGGAGCAACAGGCTGTTGCCTCTGAGCTCCAGTCTTGCCTACAGTGTGCCAACCTTGACAGTGAAGGGGGACCCACTGGACTGGTGGAAGGAACATCAAAGACTCTACCCACGTCTCTCAAAGCTGGCTCAAAAGTACTTGTGCATTCCTGCAACAAGTACCCCATGGGAGAGAGTCTTTAGCACTGGGGTAGTGACCTGCCTTCGCTCATCTCTCAAGCCAGATAATGTTGACAGGCTGGTTTATCTTACCAAGAACCTGCAAGCCTAATTTCCTCAGCTTTTGCTGTTCACAGAAGGCCTTTCCTGTGCAAGCTGTGATTCTGCTAAGTTGCACTTTGTTATTCAGTTAGCACTTTGAAATATAAAAGTATGAGTTTTTTGGATTTTTTTTTCATTACTTCTCATCTAAAATTTCATTGTTCATAGAAAAACGTTGCAACATTATTTGTAATTGGTGCAATAAAAAGACATATTTTATCAGATAGGGTGAATGATCATGATTAGGGTTGTCACGATAACCGGTGTAGCGGTAAACCTCGGTAAAAAAGTTGACAATAATAATAACCGCCTTGTTTTAAAAAAAATATGTAATCTCGGTGGATTACCGTGGCTGCGGTGTAGGTGCGGTGACCCTTACCAGCCACCGTATCATCTGCTGAAGTTGCCGGCGGCACATGCGCACTTTGTTGTTTACAACCAAAACTTTCTTGAAGCTAAAGCTGAAATAATGGCCAAAGGAGGAGACGGCAGCGCTCAGGAGGACATTTATTATCCCTCAAAGAAGACAAAGTGGGAAGTACGGGCATCTTTTGGATATCTGAAGAATGCCGAGGGACAGCTGATAGAAGACGGCTATCCTGTTTGCAGCACGAGCAGAAAAAGTGTCTGTGAAAGGCAGCAACGCTTCAAATCTCATGACACATCTGCGTCACCATCACCCACAACTCTACAGTCAATGCAAGGCAAGCTAACGTTAGCGTTTTAGCTAAAATGCGTGATCCGAGGATTTGGGTTGAGGGAGAACGCAACGAGTCGCTATATAAAGCAGCCGCAGCGCCGCTACCTGCATATAAACCGTGTCGCGGACACCGCCATGTTGAAATGACGCTATGCATTACGGGGCTCCCAGGGGCAGATAAGAGTTGGTCTCTCTCCGAGAATAATTATGAATTTAACAATGATTACTGCCTGATGACATTTTCCCACATCTGCAAAGCTCACTGGAAGGACACAAACCGAGGACGATATTTTCCTGATATAGGGTTTATTACTCAAGTAAGGGTAAAAAAGTATCTGATTAGAAGGCTACTTGAGTACTGAGTATCATCTGATCTAATAATTTTAAAATGACATCAAACGGACATAAAATAAGAAGTTATGGACAAATATTGGTATTTTAAAGACTAAAGGAGAAAAATGTAAACAAATAAGCAACATAATTACAAAATAACACATTTTAGGCAAAACTTAGACACAAACTGAGGACAACATTTCCTGACATACAGGGTTTATTTATTTGTGTGAAAATGTAGCACGTTTAAAAAAAATACCGCGATAATACCGAAAACCGTGGTAATTTTGGTCACAATAACCGTGAGGTTAAATTTTCACACCGTGACAACCCTAATCGTGATTAATAATTGTGATTATTATTTTGGTCAAAATCGTGCAGCCCTACTCCTTACCATCTGTGTTATGTTACTGATTGTGTGTGATTCTGAAGTTGTATACTCTTGTCTTCAGGCCAGTCTCTGAGAGAGTTGATCAGCGAGCGACTAGCTGCTGCTGCTGCAGACATATTCTCAGAGTTTGAAAAAACCATCGCCCGATACGAGAAAGAGATCGATCGCCAACGCAGACTGCTGGAGATCAACTCAGCCAGAACAGGTATGAAACACCAGCGGGACTCGTGGTGGTACTGAGGACTCGGGACAGTCTGGGTGGATCTGTTTGCTTTTCGACGAGGCTGATTGTGTGCCAAATTACTTTTAACTAGAAGAATAATTTATTTTTGATTAATATGTGACTAAAGGGATTTAATACAATGAAATGCAACATTTTTTATGTATTTTTGGAAATGTAAATTTTTTTCACCCTATTTATATTCATATTTGTCCTTTTTCAATAACATTGACGCAACTAAATGTTGAATTCAAATGAACCAGAATTTTTTTATTTATTAAACTCTGTTTATTGAGTATTTTTCATTTTTATAAATATTAACATTTGAACACAAAGCAACAAAAGGAGGAGCGGCCAAACAAATGAACCAGATGAAAACAAATTGTAAATATGTGCAACAACAAACAATGCTAAATGACCTACTCACCGCTCAATCCACACTGTTTAGAGTTATTTACAACCATTCGCTGTTATTTACATCCCAAAGTTACTGATTCATGTGCCAAAGTCTGTAGCAGTTCTTTTTTGCAGAGAGACAGAGAGGAACGTTACATCTTTCACAGTAAACGCTAGAGGTGGAAAGTAACAAATTACATTTACTCATGTTACTGTAATTGAGTAGCTTTTTTGTGTATTTATACTTTTTAAGTTGTTTTTAAAAGCTGTACTTTTACTTGAGTACGTTTTAAAGAATTGTAATTCTCTATATTTTAAATCATATCCGTCACTGAGTAAAAATAAATTGTAGGCTTAATAAATAAAATATTACGTGTAGCAGCAGAAAGAGACACCTGCATGAGCGACGCGTCTAAACCGTGTGTGTGTGGGGGTACACTTCATAATGAGGACTAACAACCATTTTTACCGCAGTTTAGCTCAAAAACATCAGTTCAGTCCCTGTGATCCACTCGCTGTTTACCTCCTCTCCTGTGGGTTGGAACCCGCACCTTTTGCGCACCGGTGTGACGTCATCAGAATTCTGTTCGGTTCGGTAGCCGGATTCGGTTCCGTGTTTGAAATGTGTTTCCCTGTTGCTCCGAACGGCAGCGGCAAAATAACGTTCAGCGCTCATAACAAGCGGATTCTCAGCGCTTTGCTCATAAAACAGAAGACCTGCAGGCCTCTGTGAGTTAAAACATCCTGATACTGTTCAGGTGTAAACATGGTGCTCCATCCCTGTGTTTGAACTCAAGTTGCTCCTTGATGCCACAGATATGTGATCATTTAGCTTGTTTCTTTATTTTACTCCAGAATAAGAGATTAAATTATTACTAAAGCAGTTCAGTGTAGTTAAATTAGTCATGACGTGTGTGTGTGTGTTGCACATATAGGACTGCATGAGACAGTGTGGTTTCATCAAATCCATGCATCTTATTTCTTGGTTGAAGTAATGGTGAATATGTTTTACCGGTACGTTTTACCGTGCCCACGCCCTATAACCCGGTGTGCCTTTTGTATGTGTTAAATACCAAAAAGACACCCGTAACTGAAGCTGTGCCCTATAATAGAGCTGAGGAAAATAATCAAATAATCGATGCATCGGGATGCGGACATAAACGATTCTGCATCGTAGAAGAGGACGCCATAATCGATTATAGTGGAATGTAGTTTTGTTTTTTTAATGGCGGCACCAGCGCAGATCCAAATCTGTCAGAGTGAGCGTCCTCCACATTTACCTCCGCCTTAATGTGGTACTGCAGGGCTGAGCGCTAGAGTTGTCACCCGAGACCAAACCGGAACCGAATCAGCCCGACCAGTTCTGTTGGATTTGGGCCGTGAATTATGTTAATTGAGCGGTTGTCGTGCGGCGCGCTCCGCTCGCTCGATCAGCGACAGAGAGAGAGAGAGAGACACTGTCTGCTCAGAGAGACGATCGGAGGACGCTCCTCCAAACACGCGTTATTATTTTCATAATTTAATTATTATTTCTCCTGGAAGAGCTCAGTCAGACTGCTTGTTGTAATGTAGGGAGAGCCGGTCTTGGGGAGGGGGCGGGGTCAGTGACAGCGGCTGCAGCGTGATCATCTGTCTCTTTTATTTAGGGACACGGAGAAGTTAAAAGGAGAGAGAAATAGAAGTTCTTGTTCCACTTTATTCTTTTGTTTCATGAAGATAAACTGATGTTAAATTCAGCTTAAAGAGAAACTGGGAGGAAGCTTTGGTCCATTTTAAGTTACAGGAGTGTCTCCTATCTGCTCCTCCAGAGACAGCATGGACACAAGGGTCACATGGTGAGGGTCACACAGGACAGGTTAGTGGAAAGGTTTGTAGTTAGCTGGTTAGTGAAGGAGATCCATCAGCTGGGTAATTTAATCCTAATCCAGCCCACAGCCTTCTGCTGGTGTTATTATCAGAAAGAATAAAACACACATCTTAAATATTATTGGAAGTGTAGAATTTGTTTTGTGTTTTATTGTTTTCTGCATCAAACAGAACTTGATTCATTCTCCAACATTTCAGAAACGAACCACTGGGTTCAAATAAAATAAACTAAGTCAAACATTTCATTTGGTGTTATTTCTGACATCCTTGAACTGTGGCATAAATATCTGACTCTAGAGCTGCTCAGATACATTAAACACTCATATATGAACACATTATGGATTTTATTATTACATTATGTGTCCTGTAGGTTTTCAGTACTTTTTTAGATTTTGTGAGTTTTTGCAAAGCGTGTTTTTCTCAGCCTGAGGCGTGGTGTTGAACCAGGAAACAGATGTTTTACTTTGTTAAATCTTCTTAAATGTTTAAAATGTTTTGTCCTAACCTGCTGTGAATGAAGAGCTTTTGAGGGATGGCAGGTTGTGTCAGTTATGTTTTAGATAAAAAAAATAAAAAGCAGTTATCTGACATCTTCTATTTATCGATGAAAACAAATCAATATGAAATAATCGTGATGCATCGGGATATCGAATCGACTTGAATCATTGACCCAATAATCGTAATCGAATCGAATCGGGAGACAAGTGAAGATTCACACCTCTACCCTATAACACTGTGCGCCCTATGGTCGTAAAAATACGGTAATTAAAAACCATGAAGCCAAATGCAAAGTTTAGGGCAGAACATTGACCAAGAGGTTTTCTGATTGAGCAAACTTGTAAGAATACATGTAATGATTGCTTAGAGACGGAGCAAGCTAGTCGCCATCATAGCGGCTGGCCGAGTTACATCGATGTAAAGTCATCTTGTTGCCCTCTTGTTACCCTCATCTATGGTCACAAGCTTTGGGTAGTGACCAAAAGAATTGGATCGCGGATAAAAGCAGCCAAAATTAGTTTTCTCCACAGGGTGGCTGGTAGGGCTGAACAATTTTAGGAAACAATTGAATTGCGATTTTTCTAGGAGAAATTACACATTCAATTCAATTCACGATTGAATAAACGACTATAAACCAGAATTTAGGAGGAAAACATCTATATATCTCGCTCTCTCTCCATATCTCTATTATGGCCAATATTATCACCTCTAGCAGTGCTATGTATTGAAAAACAAAACAGGGAAAATAACCAAAATGTGCAGCTCTGTCAGATAAATAATTCGGCTTGCCTCCAGTACCCAAAGCTGGTTGCTGCCGTGTAACCCCGAATGTATAAAAAGTTGACAATACAGATCCTGGATCAGTCAAGAGCGCTGGAAAAAAAACCACAGCTTTGACGATCACATAATCCCATTTAAAATAGGGCTGAACAATTAATTGCATATGCAATTAAATTGCCATGTGACAAAAAAGATTTTCTAATCGCAGCGGCTGGGATTTGACTGGCAGTGAATGGTTAGCACAATGCTAATGCTAATATCGCCGATTACATTCTTACAAATTCCGAATAAGGAACATGCCAAATGATTACATTTGGAGTCTTGTAAGTAGGGCTGCAACAAACGATTATTTGGATAATCGATTAATCGGATGGGGTCTCGACACGATTAATCGGATTACATGGGGACATTTTTAAAAACTGCTAGGGAAACGTTATTTTTCTCCTTCCTTCACTTTATTAAACACAACATTATTAGAAAACAGTTCAATAGCAGAAAAACAACATGCCATCACCTAAATTGTCTTATAAGGTGTATAGACAGAGACCCTAAGCTACACCTATCTGTGACCTAAAATGCTTGGTCCAAGTTAAACAGCTTAAAGAGCAAGTCAACCCCTACCAGAGTCTAACTCCACTCCCACTTCATGTTTGAAAAATGCAACACATGCTGTTGCCTGGCAGACCGAGAGGGCGGAGCCGCTAACAAATACACACACACTCAGGCTCATGACAGCATTGTGACATCATAATGTACCAGTTTACATCATAGCCAATAGCAGTGGCAGATTTAAATTAAAATACAGTGCAGAGTTTTTACCTGACAACGGCACAACACTGCCAGTTTTAGGCAGAATATTTAAATTTTAACTAAGATGCACTGAAGTGCCAAATTATTGACGACACGCGTCTGCAGCACGATTAGACACTCGTTTATTTAGTTCATCAGCAAAAAAAAGTTTATTTGGGGGTGACTTGCTCTTTAAGGGCAATTCTCATCTGTTTTGTTTGATCTCATCTGTAGACATTTATTATAATTGGGGATGTCAAACAACTAATTTTTAAATGTAATTAAATATAGGCTGTGAATTAATCAAAATTAATCACTATTTCCAAAAATGACTGAAAAAATACCAAATAAAACAAAAGAAAATGAATGCCATCCTCCTTGGGCAACTGCCATAAAGTCACATCAAGAAATGCTGCTGATCATTCCAATGATCCCAAATAGACTCGCATTAGGCCACATGAAAGCAACTGAACCCAAACATATATTAACCAGTATATAACTGCACTCTCACACAACACGCCTGCAGCAACAGTTAGGACTCCTCCCTCCCTTTTAAAAGCGTTTTCGCTTCTGAGGACATTGTGGTTGTAAAGCCACATGTTAGTAGTCTGGCCCCGGTGTGATCAACCAGTTTCTGCGGGAATGTGACGGCGGAA